GTATAATGCTGGTTCTGAGAACTTTAAAAGTTGAAATGAAAGCACGGAGATTATGCTTAGGAAAAATCGTGTTTTCACACGATTAACCTAACCTATTTGTCACAGAGACTGTTTTGACTACAACTAAAATCTTTCTTCTACCAATCTTTTTTATTTAGAATACTGGAATACTGGCTTTGGCAATAATTCTGCTAATAAGCATGGTGCTGTCCCTGTTGTTGGGATATACATATACCACAAAGAGGCCCATGTCACGTGTTCCGTATCGTAATGGAGTTTTGTCATCTGGATTTTGGTTGACTTATGACTGTTGTTCTTGGCATAACTTGTCTGAGCCTGCGGCGCTGTAGGCGCGTCAGAAAGAGGCGTGTTTGCGCATTTCTTGGCGGGAGATATTTGCGTTTGGTTGGAACTTTCCTCCAAAGTTTTCCTGCAAGGGACACTTTCTGATTTGAGACTGTTGTTCGTCGATGTCCATTTCGTCCGAGTTGCTTTGGACCATAGATAGACAATTTATGCTTGCAGAAGAAAGTTTGCCTGTTGTACCATCCGATACAATCGGAATAATGGGAACTATTTTGTTACGCAAGAAAGGCGGCATTATAATTCCTGTCTCTTTGTAGAGATTCTCTAGGAGGCCCTCAGGGTCGTTTGCTCAGATTGAATGGATGCAGGAGAATCAGGAGAGAAAGCATCCGCTTCGTAGGAAGAGGGAGATTCTACATTAATGATTGAGGGGATAAGCGCGAAAGACGCACCAAATGCACCGTTCTTCCCTCCGGAAAGCGAGGCCATGGAGTGCCTCAGATTTAATTTAAGCAAGGTTAAAGTTTAGGCAAACTATACGATTCATAATTGGTATGTAAAAAAGAAAATATAAGATTATTAGAATATTCGCTCGAAAAGGGCTACGCTACAAATAGCACTACGCTATGTTACGCGGGCCTGACTGATACACGATATGCGTCCGGAATATACGTGAGCGAGTGACACGCGCACGTCCGCACCCTATCACTGCTTAGGGGAGACTCGTGGAATTGAGTCGCACATACGCCACGGAAGCCGTTTGGGAACTCTCACCCAATAAAGGTAAAATAAAGGTGTCACGAAGACATATTTGCATTAAACAGTATACCAATAGTATCGAAAATGAAAACTGACATTTAGCGTTATATACAAAGTTGTAGAAACTGTCAGTTGAAAAAACTCGTGTGCGTAAAGATTTCCATTTGAAAAGATTTCCATGGATATCATGGGTCCGCTACCGGAAACTCGAATGGGCAATGCGTATGTATTAACAATACAAGATCTGCTAACTAAATATTCTCTCGCCATACCGCTAAAACAGATCACAGCCATCGACGTGACTTCGTAAGCGATTTTATTTGCACTTACAGCGCCCTAAGACTGTTCTCACGGATCGAACGTTCTGAGCGCTCTTAGCACGCCGTAGCATATAAATTTTGGATAACACAATTTAAAATCACGGCGTACCACCCCCAATCAAACGATCGAGAGAAACCATATACTCTGGGAATATCTTAAACAATATATAAATCGAAATAGCGAGTGGGACGAGTAACATTCTCATATACAAACGTGCAGGCACGAAATTTATACCGCATAAATTAGTATTCGGCAAACTCGAATACCGACGAGCAATTCGGTTTTGTTGAGTGAATTTAAATGTTACGTACGCGCAATACCTGATCTCATTGTTCAACCGACTCCGCGATGTGCAGGAAATTACTCATGAAAACTTACTCAGGCAAAACGACGGTCGAAACAATACTAAAATAAAAAGATCAATCCTCGAGTATTCAAACGCGGCGACCAAATTTACCTACTAAAAGAACCGATAAAAGGAAAATTTTCCGATCAATATACAAGACCGTATGAGGTCTTGGAAATCCTAGATAATAATAACATTAAGATAGCTATAAGTAGAAATAGTGTACACGAAGATAAGCTTAATTGATAAAAGATAACAGGAAATTGCGCTACATTGGAGAGCATGGAACGCATACGCCCGACAATGGCGACCCCCATCCCGGAGCTAACACAAGCTTCTTCTTCTTCTTTTTATTGGCTCCACAACCAGGCAGGTTGGAACCGAGTCATTGAGTATCCGCCTTATGCTGGTATGCTTCCGATTGCATGCAAATCGATTGCATAAGACTCTAAGAGGGGGAAGCCGTCTCCCCAAATCGGGCGCCTGCTGCCACCCGACGGTGGTCGCGCGTCATGGGAGAGGGGAGATTACCAAAAGTAAAACTCGGAGACCTTCGTAAAAGCCATAAAGAGCCTACAAAGTTTAGGAGAAGGATGGGACAGGGTGGGAAAGACGTCATCAGGGGATTCAGGAAATTTAGATCTACAATAATTACGAAGAGGAGATGACTTTTGACTGCAGAGCTCGTACTGGAAAATGACATGATAGGTGTCCTCTGCTCCGCAGAGGCATGCTGAGTCCACAATGTTTACTCTGTGAAGACTGCTATTGAAATTATAGTGGTTGGATCTAAGACGGTTAACTACGACGATTTCCTCTCTATTAAGAGAGGTTTTATTGAATCAGGTTTCATAGGAAAACGCTCGTGATGAAGTGTGCTTTTATATGCTATCGCTAATTTTAGATATGCCCTAAATCTCTTTGGATTCAGTGGACATATCTTCATATGGAATTTTAAAGACCGGGGCGTGTGCCTCTGTGGAAGCATGTTTAGCAATCTCGTCCACTTTCTCGTTTCCTGGAATACCTGAATGAGATGGAACCCAAAAAAGGGTGATTTTAATTCCCTTCTTTGAAGTATTCAAAATATTCTGTCTAATGTCGTAAATAATAAAGTTATTATGGATATATCTATTGTTATTTATTGCGTCAAGAGCACTTTTGGAGTCAGAAAATATGACAATATTTTTATTTCCGCAATCCCTGGCGAGAAGCGTGGCTTGAAGTATGACTCAAAATTCCGCCGAAAAGATAGAAGTTTTCCTGGGAAGTTTATGCTCAATGGCGAAATCCAGGTCCGGTGAATAGACGCCGACTCCTACTGCGGTGCTCGGTTCCTTAGATCCGTCTGTATAGATGAAGACAGCATCCTGCCTGCGTCCGGACGTTTTGGACAAGAAATCAGCTGCTATGGAGTGTTTTGTCCTTTTGGTTGCATTCTAACATGGATTTCACATATGTATTATATAATAATAAGTTATGACATTACTTCGTGCCAGAAGGCCGGGGGATATGTGGCGCGGTGTATAATTTTTTTGTCTGGATTATGGGAGATGAAAGCTTTGAAAAGTTTTGAGTTTTTAATAGCTTCGGTTTTACGATTTCTTTGAGAGACTGCGCATTCAAGTTCCCGCAGAGCTTCGTATGAGATGTTGAATTTATGAGCCATAGATTTATATATGAACTTGGAGGCGGTGAGGTTAAATCTATGGAGGGGGAGGGGGGGGCTCCCGGGCTCGCTCAGCATGACATTTATAGGTGTGGAAATGCGATATCCTATTGCTTTTCTGACAGTCTTGTATTGAATACGGAGAAGTTTGACAAAGTCCGTGGAATCTGTGCTCCAGGAGAAGATTTGTGAGCTATACTCAACTGCACTTCTAAAGGTCGTTCTATAGACGGAAAGGGAAGACTAGGTGATGATCCCCATTTAACGCCACACAATGAAGAGTTGATACTTACAATCTTTTTACCTTTTTCAGTAGAGTCTTAAGCTGTAAGTTGCCTGACAGTTTTTCATCTAAAATAATTTTCAGGAATTTATGAGAGTAGATTCTAGAAATGATAGAATTGTCAATTTTAATAGCAGAAGCTTCTGAGTATCTTTTGGATTGAGAGAATATGACGTATTTCGATTTATTTGACGAGAGTCCTCTGTATCTGAGATATGTAAAAATATTGTTAATTGAATTTTGCACAGAAGAAATTGCCGCTTTAATGTTACGTTGAGTAGAGTATATAACGACATCATTTATATATTGTAATATCCGAGATTCCGGGTGTAGATTAGAATTGATATCTCTAAAATATAGATATTAAAAAGTACTATAGATATTAAATAGTACTAAGAGTGGAGTCCTGTGGCGTACCCTTATAAGAATCGAATGAGCCCGAGAGCGATCCATCGACCACAAAATACAGGCGTCTTTTGCTAATAAGATTTTCTATGAATTTCCTAATAGGTGCAGGGATGCCAACTTCTATCAGATCATTAATTAAGATGTGAGGGTCGACATTGTTGAATGCAATAATATCTAAAAAGACCGCAAAAAGACCCCGTGAGTGAATTTTTGATGAAACCAATTTTAATATTAGTAGTAAGAATAGCCAAATTGTCAATACAAGACCTGGAAAGTCGAAATTTGATTGAATTTGTGGCAGAATAGGACGAGATTCCAGAAGTCTAAGCCTAAAGTAAATCATATATTCCATTATATTATATATTGTTTCAAACGATACTTTAGAGAGGTTGTTCTTGCAGGAGGGAAGGGATTCCTTGTTGCGTCTGAAGCATTTGATGAAAGACCATATTTGCTGCGTGGCATTGTTGAATCCTCCTACTAACTTTCTCCAACTAAGGCGTCTCGGATAAGCATTTGGCATATTTCTTTTTGGCTTTTCTGAAATTGTCAAAATGGACTCTATCAGGACACACAATGAATTCCTTAAGCGATTTTTTCCGTTCTTTGACTGCGTTATCGCATCCTTCACCAAAGAGGAGAATCTAGACGATTCGAGTTGACCTTACTACACGGTAAACTCTTGCTAGCAGGTAGCAAATTCCTAGCAGATTCCAGAATATGTTTAGAAAATGTGTTGTAAAGGGTGTCTCAAAATGATCTGACATTTTAATATATTAATAAAACATATTATTTATTTGAAAAGTACACATGTTTTTAGTTTAATATAAAGTACAAACATGGAGATTATATGTGGAACACAATATCCGATAAATGGCCGCCTCGACTCTGTTTGCAAACGTTCATTCTTTTGACAAAATTTTCAATGACATTTTGGCATAATTGCGGACTAATTTCATTAATGGTACGTCTAATTTCTTCCTTCAACTCCGGAATGGTCTGTGGATCATTGGCATACACTTTTCCTTTCAGAAAACCCCAAAGAAAGAAGTCCAATGGCGTCAAATCGCACGATCTTAGTGGCCAATTCACATCGCCGCGGCGCGAAATAACACGACCATGAAACTTCGTCTGCAATAACTGCATTGTTTCGTCCGCAGTGTGGCAGGTTGCTCGATCGTGTAATTCTCCATGACTAAACCTCAATACTTCCTGATGCCAGTTGTTAAAGGTTAGTACGTTACGTTCGCTGCAAAAAAAATGGCGCGCAATTTAAAATGTCAGATCATTTTGAGGCACCCTTTATTAAGAGAGGACGCTTACCGTGTCGTCGCACGAGATTTCGTAAGCAGTGTTCTTTAGGATAACGTAAAGCTTATTCAAGTCTTCCGATTTTAATTTCAATTTGTAGCAGAATTTCTAATTTCCGTGACGACAAGAAAATGATCGCTGCCGTACGTGTCATCTAGAACAGAATTATTACACAGGGGAGCAAGAAGAGGAGAAACTAATGCGAGGTCAATGACTGATTTGCGAGCAGAAATATGTACGAGGGTAGGAGAACCATCATTAAGAATTACAAAATCGTTGTCTTTAATGGCCTTCATTAACCTCTTACCCGATTAAAAGGCGCGCTCCAAGTGTGATGAGCGTTGAAATCTCTTACGAACAAAACTTGATTGTATTCTGCCAAGGCATTAAATAAATTCAGATAGAATATGGGAGGAGTGTCTTGACCTAGGTGTCTATAGATATTTACTAAAATGATAGGGTCTTTACAAGAGTTAATGACTTGAGAGTAGAGTAGAGTTTAATGACTTGATGACTTCCACGGATGCATGATCAAATCGTTGTCTAAATGAATGGCTTCAAACTTGATGTTCTTCCGAATCCAGGTATAGACACCACTGTGTCCCGTTTGCGTGACATCTGCCCTAACGGCGTTAAAAGATTTGATTTTCAGATAGTCACCTGGCTTAAGCAAAGACTTCTGAACACAAATCACGTTATGATCTTGAGAGAGGATCTGCAGGGATGCCAGGTTACCTTGGGCTCTCCTGCAATTGTATGATTTTAAATTTCTCTGAAGATTTTTTGAATCATTTACCCGGAAGATAGAGTGTTTTGATCTTAGACCTCGAGAGAGGAGATAAAGATGAGGGAGAAGTATGAGTATTTTTATTGTCCAGATTAATTCCGAAAATTATTCCTATAGCTGTCAGAGTATTGGTTGTGATTCCAAAATTCAGACGGATCTATTTGACTATAACGGTAAATTTAATAATAATTGGGAGGAGGAGGGGGGGGGGCTAGGATAAAATCGCACGCATTATTATTAGGAAAATTAATATTTCTAATAATTAAAAGAATTATATTCATAATACTCGAAAAATTGCGATTTTGAAAGCAATGAATCAATTCCGAAATTAAATTCATAATTTCTAGCATAAAATTCGTGTCCTCAAAAGAATTTGCGTTATCAAAGCCATGCTGAGGAGGGAGGACACCCTGATATTCTAAACTATTAGCTGTGAAGCGTTCGTTACCTCTTTGATAATCATAGAGCGCATTTTGATGTGCTTCTATCATAATCTGCGTTATTAAGATGTTATTGACTGGAGTTTCTGCGAGAAGGCGAAGGACTGGAAGGGGCCCGCGTAGGGAGATGAACGGTTCTTGTTGAGTCCGCTACCGGAATCAGTGCGCGATTTTGGACTCGAACTGGTGATATTTGCATAAGTATTCTCCTCCATAGTCGTCCGAACCTAAAATATTGAAAGAGTTAGAGCTTTCAAAACTTGACAGTTCCGGAGAACTAAAGTTAGGTTTCCTTCTTAAATATGAGAAACTATTTAAATCCAATTATTAAATTCTAGGCCTGCTTTGGGAAGAATATCTGCTATTATCATTAATGATTCTTCTAGCATTTGCGATGGGGATGTTTTCGGTGACAGCCAAGTTAATAATTTGATCCTGCTTCAAAACCATTAGGCATTCCTTGGAAGTTGCGAGGTGATTACTTTTGCAGTTAATGCACTTATCATCCTCTACACTTCCAGAACAAGAGCTCGGCTCCCGCTTCGTGTCTATTGCTCCCACAATAAAGGCATCTTGGCTAATTCTTGCACACTTTTGCAATGTGTCCAACTCTATAGCAGGCAAAGCAGATGCGAGGCTTCGGGATGAAAGGACGTACTTCATGCCTAGTCTTAAACGAGAATATTTCACGCGGCAAAATCTGGCCTGCAAATTTTATACGCAGTGTCTTTGAGGATATATATTCAGTTTTGCCGTCTTTGGTTGTCCTGTTGAGTCTATGGATGTCCAGAATTTTACTATTACGAGGAACTTCAATGTGTCTAAGGACAGCTTCCAATTCAAGCTTCCAAGTCAATTTCAATTGGAACATCTTGTATGACTCCCAATCTTAAAACTCGGAATGCTGGAATGAAGGCTTTCAGATTATGCTTAGAAAAAATAGGATTATCAACTAACCTATTTGCAGCCAATGCAGTTTTTGCTTCTATGAGTATTTTTCCTTTACCTATTTTCTTGATTTCCTATACATCCGGAATACCTGGTTTCATTGTGATACTGGAAATTATCGTGGGGTGTGTTGATTTTTCACGATTCATGTCATAGACATAAACTGCATACGGGCCGTTATTCTGTGAGTTATATTTCGCTGGTGCCTTAAGGGGATGCTGGAGCGAAGGCCGAACTTGATCAAGGTCGATATTACAGGTTTTCATTTCCAATGTATAAGCTGCTTACGCCCTCTGAAGTTAATATGATCATGCAGGAAATTCGATCGATTAATTATCGATATTTTTATTCCGTTTCCTACATTACCATCTTAACAGGGACGTGTATTAGGATCGGTCCCACAATGTAAGATTTATTTTAGAAAATTTTCCAATTTTAGAATTGAAAAAAAAATAAACATAATTGAAGTTAATCTTATATTTGTAGAATCGGACCTTAGAAATTTAGTTGCATTATATACATATTTAGTTGTATTATATACACATGCAATGTAGGCCGTGTTCTAATATATATCACCAGTACTAAAAGTCTGTAATATATATAAAATACAGATTTTTAATTAATAGATATATCGATACGAAACCGTAATAGCACTTTTTTCTTACATCCAATGCCATTTTAGTTGACGATAATATATTATCATAAATGAATAACATAATATATATATATAGATATTCATGCAGATATTCTCTATGTCCATTTTTGCAATATTAAAATTTTATATTATAATGTGTATAATGATATATAAAATGTAATTCTA